AAAGGAAAACAGTTTCAACCTAGAAGTCAACAGTATCCTAAAAAGTGAGAAAAACACTGGCATATTTCAAAGTGACAGCAGCATCCTCAAAGATGCTCATAAGATAAATGCAAGTTGAAACAAGAATGGGATATAATTTCTCTAAGGCACACCTTAAATTAAAAGAGACCTAAAACTGCATGAGACTTATTTAGACCATGAGTCAAAAACAAAACAAAAACACACACACACACTTATGAAATAACAGAAAACTTTGAACACTGCCTATACATTTGATATTAGAGAAGTACTGCTAATTCTGTAGATGTGATGATATATTTTTTATGATTTTTAAAGGAGTTATTGGAGAGAGATTTTGAAATATTTACAATATACCATGTAAAAGATCTGCTTCAAAATAGTGATAAATACAAGGGTGTCTGTTATACTTTGTTTTGAAATTTTCATAATATAAATCTAAAAATCATTAGATAACTTCATTCATAAAACATTAAAAGGATGTATGGCTGTTTTTTTTAACATATATATAAAATCACAAAATAAGTGGTCTTAGGAAATTTAAAAGTATAATAACAAAAACAAAAAAAGGTAAAAAGATTTAAAGATAAAGCTGAGGAACTCTTCCAGAAAGCAGAACTCCCAAAAGAGATAAGCAAAGAAAAAGGTAAGAAAATTACATGATCAATTTCAAAGGTTCAACACCAGATTATTCAGAGTTCCAGAAAGAAAAAACAGAAGAGAGAATCAAATACAGGAGAAATTCCTTAAAGAAGTGAAATCTGTAAGGACCCATCAAAATGGCAATATTTCTTTTTTTGTTTGTTTTTAATATTTTATTTGAGAGAGAGAGAGAGAGCAGGAGCGGAAGGGGGAGAAGGGGCATTGTGAGAGGGAGAAGCAGGCAGCCCAATGTGGGGCTCCATCCCAGGACCCTGAGATCATGACCTGAGCCCAAGGCAACACTTAACTGTCTGAGCCACCTAAGTGCCCCAAAACAGGCAATTTCTTAAAAGACTGGAACTAAACTTATCAACATGAAAGTTTTGAATACCAAAAATAAACTGATGAATCTAAAGGTTCCAAGAGATGATAAATAGGTTACATACAAAAGAACAGTAACAGGTGTAGAATAGGACTTCTCAATGGTAACACTGCTTCATTTCTATTTGGCTTTGCCCACTTTTAAAATTCCAAGGGAAGGCAAGTTCTTCCATCGACCGCCTAAGAGTGGCACTGCAAGAAGCAACAACCTCTCCTCCTCCTCTCTGCCATCTGCTCAGCAGCCACAAAGCAGCAACCATGTGCAAATTCATTTCCATCCAGGCTGGTGTTGGCAATGCCTGCTTGGGAGCTCTACTACCTGGAACAGGGCATCCAGCCCAATGGTCAGATGCCAACTGACAAGACCACTGGGGGAGGAGATGACTCCTTCAACACCTTCTGCAGTGAGACAGGTGCTGGTGCCCAGGGCAATGTTTGCAGACCTGGAATCCACAGTCATTGATGAAGTTCACACTGGCACCTACCACCTGAGCAGCTCATCACAGGGAAGCTCACCACAGCCAATAACTGTGCTGGAGGGCACCACACCATCAACAAGGAGATCAATGACCTTGTCTTGGACTTAAGCTCAAAAAAGAAAAAACGGCTACAATTACAGCAATGATTTTAAAATATCACTAAAAAGCCGTGATTTTTTAAATCTCCAAAAAATCACTATAGAAGATTAGAATGAACAACTTCATGCCACCAAACTTATAAATTCACAGATGAATAATTTTCTAGAAAACCTTGTGTCCAAATTGACTCAGTAAGAACTATAAAACTTAAATCCATCAACAACCATTAAAAAAAAAAAAATCAGAAGTCAAACATCTACCCCTAGAGATTTTGAGTCCAAAACTTACAATGGAAAAACTACTTTACAAAATAGGAGGAAAGAAAAATCTATGCTTCCCAAATTATTCATGAGACTTGTGAAATTCTTTTACGGTACAAGACAGTACTGCGAAGATAGCACAGAGGCCGCTTTTAGGCAAAGAGGCTGGAGCGATGGAATGTGGAAAGGGCCCACAGTGACCCCCTGGCTGAACACACACCTGCCCATCAGGCGACCCACCTTAAAGCAGCCGACAGTTACCAAAAAAAGCAAAATGCCCATACATCTCCGTACTTTCTCACCTTCTCCTTTAACAAAACAGCCCCACCCACTGCCTTGCTGCCGCCGGTTTCTCCTCTGCTGTCCAGCCGCCCCACCCCCTGCGGTGGGTTCAATAAACGTCTACCTCCTTTGTTCCACCTGGGGAAATTCTCTTCACTGCCGGGGCCACCGGCTTCCACCCCAACGTGGCTCCACATATGCGGGCCCCCCAGATAGTACAAGGAAAGAAGATTAAAATGCAATTTTAATTCCGAACTCTGAAAAAGCCCTAAGCAAAATATTAACAACTTGAATATGACTGTGTACTAAAGTAATAAAATAGTATCACATTCAAACAGGGTTTGAAGAACATTTGCAAGAATTACTGCCAAGCAGAAAAACCGTTACTGTAATAGTAACATTTAATGAACACTCTTGTACCCACTGTATTTTGAAGCAGATCTGGGGATGCTCTTATCATTTGTAAAAATTTCATAATTTATCTCTGTATAAGTATTTTTTTTTTAAGATTTCATTTATTTATTTGACAGAAGGAGAAATAGCGAGAGCAGGAACACAAGCAGGGGGAGTGGGAGAGGGAGAAGCAGGCTTCCCGCGGAGCAGGGAGCCCGATGCGGGCTCGATCCCAAGACCCTGGGATCCTGACCTGAGCCGAAGGCAGATGCTTAAGGACTGAGCCACCCAGGCGCCCCTCTGTATAAGTATTTTTTTCTTTCCTTTTTTTTTTTTAAAGTAAGTTCTACGCCCAACGTGGGGCTTGAACTCCACCCCGACATCAAGAGTTGCATGCTGTATAGACTGAGCCAGCCATGCGCCCCAAAATTTATCTCTGAATAAAAATCTTAAAAAATCTTAACAAGGATATGGTCACACCCACAATATTAGCAGGAATTGCTTAATATCAAATATATAGGCAGTGTTCAAACTTTTCTGTTATCTCATTAGATTTTTTTCAAGCAATTCCTTTGACTTACGGTCCAAATAAGGTTCATATAATTTCAAGTCCCTTTAATTTAGGGCTTGCCTTAGAGAACAGAGCTCTCCTTACGGTGATGCAGCCCATTAATAAACGAAGGGACGAAGACGGATCGAAGAAAAGCTCCCGCACAGAGTACGGGTCAGTGCAGGACGCCCACCACGCACCGCCAGCAGCATCACCGAGGCGGCTTCTCCTCGGTCCGCTCCCGGCCCCCCCTCCCCCCACGCTCCGGGCGCGGCTCCGCGTCTTCCCAGCCCCCGTCTCCCCGCCGGCCGCAAAGCCACGCCTAGCTGCCCGCAGAGCTCGGGTGGGCGCTGAGCACCGGAGCGACCACTCCCCACGTCCCCTCTCACGGGCCCCGTCTCCTCAACTCTGCGCGCTCCTACACGCTCACCTGTCCCTGGGGGACCTCGGCGTCGGAACCACCAGTCCGCCGCGGGAAGGGAGAGGAGAGCGCGCGCTGGGCGGGCGGGCCGGCGGCGGCGTCCGGAGGCCCCCAAGCCGAAGGAGGAAAGCAGCAACCACAATTCCCTCGCTCAGCGGCCCCAAAAATCCGAAGGGCGGGGACTACATTTCCCAGGAGGCCCCGCGCCGCCCAGGCCTGCCCCGCGGAGGGATTCTGGGCTCGCGTCCCGGCTGCGCTCCCCGGCGGAGAGGCCGCGGCCCGTGCGTGCGTGGACGGGGGAGAGGGAGCGGAAGGAGCGTGCGTGGGCCAAGCCGGGGCCGCGGCGCGTGCGTGAAGGGACTGGGGGGGGGGTGGAATGTGTGTGGGACGGGCTGAAGCCACGGCGCAAGCGTGAGGGGCCGCGGGCGTGGGCGGGGCAGGCCGGGATCGCGGCGCGTGCGTGAAAGGATGGGGGCGGTGTGTGGGGGGCGGGTCGGGGCCGCGGCGCGTGCGTGAAGGGGCGGGGGCGGTGTGTGTGGTACGGGCCGGGGCCGCGGCGCGAGCGTGAGGGTCGTGGGGTGGGCGTGTGTGGGGCGGGCCGGGGCCGCGGCGCGTGCGTGAAGGGACGGGGGCGGTGTGTGGGGGGCGGGTCGGGGCCGCGGCGCGTGCGTGAAGGGACGGGGGCGGTGTGTGGGGGGCGGGTCGGGGCCGCGGCGCGTGCGTGAAGGGACGGGGGCGGTGTGTGAGGGACGGGCCGGGTCCGCGGCGCGAGCGTGAGGGTCGCGGGGTGGGCGTGTGGGGGGCGGGCCGGGGCCGCGGCGCGTGCGTGAAGGGACGGGGGCGGTGTGTGAGGGACGGGCCGGGTCCGCGGCGCGAGCGTGAGGGTCGCGGGGTGGGCGTGTGTGGGGCGGGCCGGGGCCGCGGCGCGTGCGTGAAGTGACGGGGGCGGTGTGTGTGGTACGGGCCGGGTCCGCGGCGCGAGCGTGAGGGTCGTGGGGTGGGCGTGTGTGGGGCGGGCCGGGGCCGCGGCGCGAGCGTGAAGGGACGGGGGCGGTGTGTGTGGGGCGGGTCGGGGCCGCGGCGCGTGCGTGAAGGGACGGGGGCGGTGTGTGTGGTACGGGCCGGGGCCGCGGCGCGAGCGTGAGGGTCGTGGGGTGGGCGTGTGGGGGGCGGGCCGGGGCCGCGGCGCGTGCGTGAAGGGACGGGGGCGGTGTGTGTGGTACGGGCCGGGGCCGCGGCGCGAGCGTGAGGGTCGTGGGGTGGGCGTGTGTGGGGCGGGCCGGGGCCGCGGCGCGTGCGTGAAGGGACGGGGCCGCGGCGCGAGCGTGAGGGTCGTGGGGTGGGCGTGTGGGGGGCGGGTCGGGGCCGCGGCGCGTGCGTGAAGGGACTGGGGCGGTGTGTGAGGGACGGGCCGGGGCCGCGGCGCGAGCGTGAGGGTCGCGGGGTGGGCGTGTGTGGGGCGGGCCGGGGCCGCGGCGCGTGCGTGAAGGGAAGGGGGCGGCGCCTGTGGGACGGGCCGGGGTCGCAGCGCGAGCGTGAGGGGACGCGGGGCTGGCGGGCGGGTGGGGGGTGAGGAGGCACCCCCCCCACCCCCCGGCGGAGAGCCGGCAGCCACCCGGACGGACCCTCCGCAGCCCGGTGGCCGCGGGGCGCCTGCTAGCGGAGGCCCGGCTCGTCATTGATTTGCCGTTGCTGCTGCCGTTGTGACGGATCGCCTACCCCTGCGCGCCTGCTGGGTGCTCGCTGCAGGTATACGCGCGCGCGCGCGTGTGTGTGTGCGTGTGCTGGGTCGTCCTTCCCGCAGCCCCCGGCTTGCTAGCCTCGTGGTTGTAGGCGGACGATGATTTCCTCGGTGAGAGGGCTTCCTCCTGGTGTGGTTTTCACCCCGTGCACGAATGACGGTTTCCCCGTTGCGGGGTACTCCTTGACTTCACGTCGTGGCATTAACGGCCCACGGTCCTGTTTGGCAGGAATAGTGGCGACACCCGAGTGTCTAAGTGTGCCCTGCGGGGATGGCGGTGCCCGTAGGCCTGAGCCAGATACTCTCAGTGATTCAAAATGAGGTTTCCTCTCGTCCTGCTTTTCCTTTTCCCCAACTAGGGCTAGCTGTGTAACATCTTGCTTATGGCTTTTCTAGCATTTGCTGAAAAGGATCGTGCTCTTTTTGTTAGAGCAGGAAATTTCTTAGAGTGAAAGCCTTCCGTTCCTCGGAGAAACCAGACGTGGTTACGCTGGTTTTCAAATACATAAACCATTGGATTCTGTTCGTGGAGAGTGTAAGAGCCGCATGCTGCTTGCTTCCTGAAGAAGTAGGTCTGTTTTCGTACGTGTAGCTGTAGAAGGGGCTGGATAGGTTTCTATTTCTTGGTCTAGCCTAAAAATACAAGTTAAATAAACCTTTTCACTTACTGTTGAAGTTATATTGAGTTACTTTCCTCAGAATTTCTTGTCGTATCAGCATCCTCGGTCTCTAAGATCAGGCCAGTTGCTGTGTGGTCTTTCACAACAAAATTCTAAAAAAGCCCTGTATCTCTAGCTCCCACCTCCTTAATCTTTAGTGTGTGTGTGTTTTAAATCAAAGAGATTAACTGGAGGTGGGTATGTGTTTAACATAGTTTATTTTTCAGAGACAGCTCAAGTTTAATGTGTTATTTTTCCTCGATACGAGAGTTGTTACGCTATTCAAAATGATACGTGTCATCCGATATCTGGTATGGTGTCACAGGCAAGGTTAACACCAGCCTTACGTAGATCCCAGCCAGAGTCTGTGGAGAAGGTGAAGCATTTCAGTTCTTCAGTATATTGTCTTTTACGAAGAAGTAAAAGGGAACATGAGATGTCATCCAGAATGCGTGCTGACAAACCTTGTCAGTTGGCAGTGTCGACTGTAGTTAACTCTCCGGACCGTTAAATAGCACAGCTCCTCCTCTGTCTTGCAAAGCTTCCTGGACGGTGAATTTCACACATTCTTGCCTGTTCTTGAAAATTGTTCCCTTGTTCTGTCATTTCTTCTCTTAACACACATTTCTTGGGCTCTTAGCATGTGCCAGCCACAGGGCAGGCATTTGAGATACAGATAAAGAAGGAAGCCTGTTTATCAGTATTTTATATTAATATTGTCTCCAAATTCCGCTTAGGACAATACCGTATTTACGTAGATACAAAGCATACCTTCTGGAAGAGAGACTACAAAATTATTCTTATTAATTAACTATACCCCCGCCATGTGAAAGAGATTCAGTTAACATCAATGAGTTTTTAGTAAAATGACTGAGAAGGAAATATGTAAGTGAACAGATTGCTTTACTGTCCTCAGTAACAAGCTAACACATGTCTTTTTGGAAGAAAGTCTACTCAACAGTACTAGAATACCTAATATTAATTTTAACTAGAGATATGCCTGCACTATATGAGAAAACTTTAAAACCTTACTAGGAGGTAGAAGAATAAAAGATGAATGGGCATGAGACCAGTTCTGTTTTTTATTAAATTCAGTTGTTAAGGAAATATAAATGGAATTTTTTTCAAGAACACCCATGCACTATGTTCTTTATGTCTTCATCTTAAAAATGTTTGGAAGTGGCTTATTGCTTTTCATAATTTGGTGAGAAAATGTTTCTGTTAAAGAGAAATACTCCTAGAAATGATGGGTTTCCTTGGTTTACATGACGTAATTCAAACACTGAAGGCTTAGTAACAGTTTAAAAAACTTTTTAGGTTTTAAGAATTTTTATTTTGAGGAAAAGGAAGCTTCATATTACAACATCTCTGTTTTGCTTACAATACACCTTGACCTGCAGTACTCCTTGCATGTCTCCTATCAGAGTCGTTGTCTCCTATCACATCAACATGTCTTATATCTTCTGGCCACAAAGCAAGGTCAGGACTGGGTGTGGCATAGGCTGTATATGTATCCCTGACACAGTACCAACACCCAGAGCATCGTTTTTGCCTCTTTCACACAGTACCTCTCTGCTATCTCATTCTTGCCTTTTCTCATATTTCATTATGAAAACTTTTGAGCATACAACTAAATTAAAAGAATACTTGTAAACCACTCTCCTAGACTCCACTATTAACATTTTACTTATTTTAACATACATTTATTTTTTCATCAGTCCATCTTTTTTTGGTGTGTATTGAGTTAATTGCATGTATCAGTATACTTCCTCTAAATACTTGAAAATGTATATGTGTTATTAACTAGAATTCAGTATTTGTTTAGCTTTTTGTTTTGATGTAAAATTTATATAAAATGAAGTGCACAAAATGAAAGTATACATTTTCTGAGTTTTCGCAGATGCATGGTCTTTGCCTTTTGTATCTTCAAGTATGTCTTTGCCATCTCTCCTGGCCCCAGAGTTCTAACTCTGTGGCTGCTGGGTCCTTTTGCTAATCATTCCTTGCCCCTTGCACATGCTAAAAACTAGTGAACTTACTCAAAATGTAAAGAGATCCTGTTCTCTTTTGTTAGGAAGCATATACTCCAGGGGTGCCTGGGTGGCTCAGTTGGTTGAGCATTCGACTCTTGTGTATTGTTTCGGCTCTGGTCATGAACTCAGGGTCCCAAGTCAGGCTCCACACTGAGAGAGGAGTCTGCTTGAGACTCTCTCTACCTTTCCTTCCCCCTCTACCCCTCTCCCTGCTCCTTCGTTCTCTCTAGAATAAATAAATCATCCTTAAAAAAAAAAAAAGAAGCATACACTTCATAAACCTGAGTGAAATGCTGTCCCTGACAAGGTCTTGCCTATCTCTGGGTACTGGCGCTCCAGTACTGGGTCTTCAAATGGAGACTGGAGGGCAGACACCTTGGGAAACAGACACGTAATTTTTGTGGGTGCTCCTTAAGTGTTGGACAAATGCCAGTGGAACAAATATGAAGTTGAAAGCACTACGCTAGTCTCTTAGGTTTCGAATGAGATTATCCCAGTTCTCAAGTAGTTCCTTATAAGGGAGGTGGACAGTAAGTAGGGTGTTGAAGTGCTAGAATCATGTACAAAGTTCTCCGTGATTACTGGCCAGGGAACAGTTATTCTCTCTGGGACAACAGGAAGGCTTGTCAGAAAAGGCATTTAAATGAGGCCCAGAGATCATGGGGCGAGTGCAGCAGGAATTAAGTTTGAAATGTTGTCAAGGCCATGAAAGTAGATGGTTGTGAAGCTTGTATGCTCAGTGACCTGGTTGGAGCCGTGCTGCAGAACCTCTTATGCCCTGGATAGTCTCTTTCATACCCTTCTGGTTCATACTGAAAGCTTCTTGCAGCCCATCTGTGCCCTGGTGGTAGGCAGAATAATCACTCCCCAAAGAACCAGAACCTGTGGATATATTAATATTGCTATATGGCAAAAGGGACCTTGCAGATGTGATTCAACTAAGGACCTTAAGATGGGGAGATTACCCTGGATTGTTCGGTGGGCCAAGTATAATCACAGAGGTCCATCTGAGTTGGAGTAGGGAGGCAGAAGGTGAGCATCAGGGGGAGATGTGACTGTAGAAGAAAGGCATAGAGAGAGCTGGTGTTGCTAGCTTCCTGCCTTACAAGCCTCCAATTGATGCCTCCATCTGAGCTTCTGACTCCATCCCTTGCCCTGTTCTCTCCTCTGGCTCCAGTCTGCTTGTCTGTTACTTCCTTCCTCTCAGTCTACAGACGACTCTCCAGTCCCCAGCACCTCTTCCAGGTGTGCGCTTTCTCTTCTTTTTTCACCTCCAAACTTTTCATTCCTTTTGTGGAATTTGTCTGCAGTTGCCAGCGATATATTGAGACCAGTCTCCCCTAATCACTAGTGAACCCTTATCTAACCAATCCTGTACATTATGCTCCTTAACTTACCCAAACTCTTTTAAGTCTCCCCTCCTTGAAATTCTCTCTTCTGGCTTTTGATACACCTCTCTTCCGGATCTTCTCATTCTCTAGTGGGTCTTTCTTTGCCTCCTTCGTGGGCTTTTCTTTCTCTTCTATTTGCTTCCTAAATGTTGATTTTCCCAATAATCTAATCCTGGTCTTACACTTCATTTTACTCTTCACATTATCTTTGGTTGACTTTATATACTGCCATGGTGTCATCTGATAATACCATTAACTAACTTTATGAAATCTTACTGTTTCTTAGTGGGCTTTATAAGAATTATTATGTCATAGGGTTGTTGATAGGAATATATGATCTCACTTAGACTCTTGTCCACCTGCCTACTTCACCTTTATCTCATAGTGGAAGAACATAGTCACTCTCAAATCTGTGACAAAAGACCATCCCCTACCCCCAAAATCTTGTTGGAGAATATAGCTGAGTAGTTTGGATAGATATAGAACAGAAATGTCAAAGGCAGATGATACAGCTGGATAACCCTCACATCTACATATGTTTCCTAAATGTCATTTCTCTGTCCCACTTTCTGAGTTTAAAACCAACCCCATCAGGATGTGAGGATGATCTGGCTGCAACATCTGTCACCCCATTGATCACCAAGGTTGGTTTAGCTGATCTGGCCAGGTAGGTGGGTGTCCCCTTCCTCCTTCACTGCTCCATGTGCATCCCTCCCGAAGTTGCAGGTTCAATCAAAGAGGACAACCTTCGGGGCGCCTGGGTGGCTCAGATGGTTAAGCGTCTGCCTTCGGCTCAGGTCATGATCCCAGGGTCCTGGGATCGAGTCCCGCATCGGGCTCCCTCCTAGGCGGGGAACCTGCTTCTCCCTCTGCCTCTCTCTCTCTCTGACTCTCATGAATAAATAAATAAAACATTTAAAAAAAAATTAATATAAAAAAAAAAAGAGGACAACCTTCCCCAATAGAGGAGGACCATTCTTTGGTCAAGGGTATACAAGAAGCTGCGCTCCCTGCTAGAACTTCCAAACAAGCTCTCAAGGTCCGTTTGTAGGAGAACAAGTTTCCAAGACTCCAGACACATCCAAATGAGGCGCTGCATGTGGCAGTCTGCCTTTCTTTAAAACAAAACAAAAAACAGCCCAGTACCATCATTTCTCTAGTGCCTACTCCTGCTGATACATTGTTGTCATATCGGTCACCCAGGAAACTGGGAGTCATCTTTAACCCCAACCCATCTTCACATCCATATCCATTTGATTTTCAGGAAATACCAATCTTTCCAAAGTCTGCCTGCTCTGCATTTCTACCCTTAGTCCTAATTTGTGTTCCCATCCTCTGGATTATGGTTTTAGCCTCCTTCCTTGTTCCTTTGCTACTGTTATATCTTCCATCAGTACATTACACAACCACCCCAAATGCAGAGGAAGCATTTTTAAGGTGCAAATTTAGTATCATATCTGGGCTTATAACATGTAGGACAGAGTCTGAAAATGGCTTTTTTGTCCTTTTGTGACCTAGGTCTGGTCATGTGTGTCTGTGGGCTCCCTTCTGGCTGTTCCCTGCCCTTCACAAGTATGCACCAGCTGCAGTGAGCTCCCTTCCCCATACATCATTGTCTTAGGCTCTGCCTTTGTTTACACAGGTCCCCACCCTTCTTTGTCTGCCTAATTAGCTCTAGGACCCAGCCTTGAAATCACCAGGTGGTGCTGGGTGCTATTTTCTGTGCTCCATGACCCCTTGGGCATGCATGCCGTTGTCAGAGCAGTAATCATAGTGGACTATAGGTGTCCATTTTCAGTGTCTTCAGCTAGACTCAGCTGCTTGCTGTCAGGAATAAATACTGTATTCATGTTTTTATCTCCTGGGCCTTGTACAGAGCCAGGCGCATAGTAAGTGTCTACTAATTATTTATTAAAATGACAGAAGATCCAAATATATAACATCAAGATAGTAATCAACTTACCAGCTGTTTCCCTAAACACAAAACTCATCCCAGTATCGCCACATGGCAGTGACAATTGTTACTTTAGAGAAATCAGTTTTGGCCAGTTGCACAGAAAGGTATCAGTGATAAAAGAATCTGATTATTCCAGGGTGCCTGGGTGGCTCAGTCAGTTAAGCATCTGACTCTTGGTTTCAGCTTAGGTCATGATCTCAGGGTCTTGGGATGGAGCTCCACGTCGGGCTCTGTGCAGTGCGTGGAGTCGGCTGGAGATTATCTCCCTCTTCCTCTGCTCCTCTCCTGCTCGTGCATGCGTGCGTGCTTTCTCTCTAAAATAAATAAAATCTTGGGGCACCTGGGTGGCTCCCCAAGATTAAGTGTCTCTTCAGCATCGTTAAGCGTCTGCCTTCGGCTCAGGTCATGATCCCAGGTCCTGGGATCGAGTCCCTCAGCGGGAAGCCTGCTTCTCCCTCTCCCACTCCCCCTGCTTGTGTTCCCTCTCTTGCTGTCTCTGTCTGTCAAATAAATAAATAAAATCTTTAAAAAAATAAAAATCTTAAAAGAATCTGATTATCCCTAAGAAGTGGTAGGATTTAATTAATTGATTAGTTCAAATAGATTTGAATAGTTGCATAGATTAAATAATGGCTTAGATCAGTGATTCTCAAACTTGGCTTCACAGTTGAGTCACCCAGGGAACTATTTAAAAGAAACAAAAGCTTGGCCGCTCACCACAATTAAGTCAGAATCTCTCAGAGAAGGATGGCATGGGATCCAGGTGTCATAATTTATGAATATACTTGGCATTTCCAGCATTCAGTTAGGGCTGAAAACCACTGGTTTAGGGAAAGGTTTGAGTAAGTTATCAGAACTGGAGGTTAAGGGAAGTTAGGATGACATGAGACTAATTGCAGGCTTTTTGTATTTTATATAATCCTAAAATGGGAGAGTTAATGGAATGGACCTTAGATACCTATGTAAAGTAGAGGCTGTACTGTAGTGTTTTTAATAAGATCTGATTGAAAATTTATTGGTGGCCAGAATTTCCTGCTTTCTTAGGCAACCTGATCTATTTCCAGGTGTCATATGGTTATAATATTGACTTGTAATTGATTTCTTTGTGACTGCACACATTACTCCTAATTCTGCCCTCTGGAGCAACTCAAAATAAATATCCCTGTTCCACAGGACCTGTAAATATGTGAAAACCATTCTCTTGCTTCCATAAAGTAATTTCTTACACAGTTTAACATCCCTGGTTATTTCAGCCTTTATTCATGTGACATCGAAAAGTAAGTTCCAGGGGCGCCTGGGTGGCTCAGTTGGTTAAGCGACTGCCTTCGGCTCAGGTCATGATCCTGGAGTCCCTGGATCGAGTCCCACATCGGGCTCCCTGCTCGGCGGGAAGCCTGCTTCTCCCTCTGACCCTCCTCCCTCTCATGTGCTCTCTGTCTCTCTCATTCTCTCTGTCTCAAATAAATAAATAAAATCTTTAAAAAAAAAAAAAAAGAAAGAAAAGTTCCAGGAGCGCCTGGGTGGCTCAGTCGTTAATTGTCTGCTTTCGGCTCAGGTCATGATCCCAGAGTCCTGGGATCGAGCCCCGCATCGGGCTCCCTGCTCAGCGGGGACCCTGCTTCAGGGAGCCTGCTTCTCCCTCTCCCACTCCCCCTTCTTGTGTTCAGTCTCTCTCTGTCAAATAAATAAATAAAATCTTTAAAAAAGAAAAGAAAAGTAAGTTCCAGGAAAGGTTAAGAAACCTCCTAGTAAGTATTGGAGCAGGGACTTGAACCTGGGCAGTCTGGCTGCAGAATCCATGCTATTAGCCACAGTTGGAAATATGCAGTTGAGGTTGAGGAGCAAGGTCGGGATAGAAGACAGAGTGGTCTATTCATGTAGCCAAAACACAGTTCTGTTGTGTGCCTGGCAGTGGGATAGACAGTGGGGATAAAACAAGTAGGTACATTGTGTGTCCTGGAAGTGCCCAGGGGGGCATTGAAAGTGGAGACCGAGAGATGCAGCGAATCATTAGAGAAGACTGAGAACCAAGATACACAGAGGGAAGCTAGGTGAGGAAGGAAGCAAAGTAAATAAAGAGCTTCAAGAACAATCAAAATGCCAACAGTGTCCTCTGTAATAGATGTCATTGGTGAGAACGGTTTTTAGTGGTGTAGCAGGGCAGAAGCCATACTGCTTTTATGCATGTAAATTTGCATAGAACTGAGATGGAAATCCGTAAGATCTCCAGAAGACAAAGGGGGAAAACAATAGGAAAGAAAACAGATTCAAAAGAACTGTAAATACAAACATGGGAAACATTCAAGCCCAGTATTCAAAAGGTGGAAATTAAAAATACAATCTAAGTTTAAAACACCTTAAAAACGCAATGTTTATAGACTTCTGTTTCTGGCCAACATGGAATAACAGGGACAACGGCAACAACAACAACAAAGACAGACAAAATACATGAAACAATCGTTCTAAGACCCTGGATATCAGATGACAAAGGACAGTCATCCCTGGGAGATGGAAAATCAACGAGGTAAGCCTTCTGATTGTCCCAGTTTATTGCCTTGAGAGGGTTTCCAATTTACAGCAGAGGAAGGAGAACCTGAGGTGGAGCCCAGCAGACTTCCTGAGTCAAGGATGGAGCTGAGAATCTGGGGAGAGCAAAGCAGCTGGAGTTCATAGGACAGATCACCAGAGAGGACAGGTCTGCAGAGGGTCTCCCACGAGTTCTCAAGAGCACAGAGCAGCACGTGTGTGTGAGGAAACTCCACAAGGCCAGGGAAAGAATCCTCTAAAGGGTTGGAGGGAATAGTCCTGATATTTGCATGGGGAATACTGCCTGTTACCACTAGCCAGACTGGAAAACTCTCGTAATTCCTGGAACATTGGGAGTGGAACTATTTATGTAAAGCACTGAAAGGAAAATTAACTCTACTTAGAATTCTAAATTCAGCAAAAATATTTTTCAACAACAAAGACAAGACAACAGAATGGGAGAAAATATTTGGAAATTATATATCTGATAAGGATTTAATATTTATAGGATATATAAATATATATGTACTTATATGTAGAATATGTAAAGAACTACAGCTCAATAACAGAAACACAAATTATCCAATTTAAAAATGGGCAAAGGACTTGAACAGACATTTCTCCAAGGAGGATATGCAAATACTAAATACATGAAAATAATACAAATCAAAATACAATGAAATACCACTTCACACCAACTAGGATGGCTATAATAATTTAAAAAATGGAATAACAAGTTTTGGCAAGCATGTGGGGAAATTGGAACTCAGCATCACAACTCACAGTGATGCTGCCACTGTGGAAAACAGTTTTGTGGGTCCTCAAAAAGCTAAACATGCAATTACCATATGACCCAGCACTTCCACTTCTAGGGATAGACCGGAAGGAATTGAAAGCAGGGACACGAGCACATACTTGTATGACAGTGTTCACAGCAGCACTGTGCACAAGAGCCAATAGATGGAAACAACCCAGGGGTCCATGAGCAGATGAAGGGACAAACAGAATGTGGTCTCTCCCTACAATGGAATATTACTTGGCCGTTAGAAGGAATGAAGTTCTGATTCATGCTACAGCATGGATGAACCTTGAAGACATGATGTGGAGTCACGTAAGCTAGACACAAAAGGACAAATATTGTATGATTCCATTTATATGAATTTTCTAGAATTGGCAAATTCAGAGAGACAAAGGAGATTAGAGGTTATTGGAGTCTGAGGGGATGCAGGAATAGGGAGTTTGGTTAATGTTTCAGAGTTTCCGTTGGGGTGATGAGAAAGTTTTGGAATTATTAGTGATGGTTGTACAATATTGTGAATGTAATTAATGCCACTGAATTGTACACGTAACAATAATTAAGATAGCAAATTTTGTTAATTTTTTTACTACAATTTTAAAGACTGATAATGTAATTGCCAAAACCATTGGATTGTATACTTTGAGTGGATGAATTGTATGGTATGTGAATTATATCTTAGTAAAGCCGTTTAGAAAAAAAAGGCAAAATGAAGACATTGTCAGACTTAAAAAGCTGAAAGAATTCATTACCAGCAGACCCACATTGCAGGAAATGTTAAGCGATGGCCTTCAGGGAGAAAGGAAATGAAACCAAGTGGAAATCTGGATCTACAGGAAAGGATGAAAAGCAGTGGCAATGGTAACTACGTAGGTAAATATATGATATTTTTCTTTATTATTTAAGTATCTTTAACAGATAATTGATCATGTATTGGTTCCCTATTGCTGTTAACAAACTATCACAAACTTAGTAGCTTCAAAAGCACCCACTTACTGGCTCACAGTTCTGTAGGTGGAAGTCTGACCCTCTCTGGCTGGGTTTTCTGCTCAGATATCCAACAGCTGCTTTCAAGGTGTTAGCTGGCCTGGGTTCTCATTTGGAGGCTCTGATTGTTGGCAGAATTCAGTTACTTGTGGCTGTGGGACTATGATAGGACTGGCTGTCAGCTGGGTGTTGCTCTTAGCTCCCAGAGACTGCCCCCATTCCTTGCCATGTGACACCATCCACCTGCAGGCCAGTAACAGCACATCACGTGTTTCTTGTGCTTCTAATCTCTGACTTCCCTTCTCTGATCAGCTGGAGAAAACACTTTTTCCTTATCTGTAAAGTAAGGGTGTTAGATCAAGGCAGGTTTTGTGTCTTGGTTTGTTTTTCTCAAAAAAGAGGATTTGTAGCAGCCAAACCATTAAATTAAAAATGAAATTTTGCATGGAACCCCAGAGACTAAGGAGAAAATGGCAGTTTACATAGTTCTTCATACTCCTGGGAATTTCAGACATTGTAGATACATTTTTGGACTATCTCTGATGTTCTTCTTTGTGTGGTGGGTGTTTGCATTATACCCAGCTGGGTGTGAGGGAGTCTAGGTTGATGATTTATGAAGCCTCCCTGTCACAGCAGACTTTCTTCATCTTTCTTTCTTTTCTCCAGCTTCATCTTCTCAGGATCTCCATTACTCAAAAAAGCATCATCAAAAACAAGGAGGGCATGGAAGCCAAGTCACTAACTGCCAGGTCCCATGTAAGTTGGGCTGCCTTCTTTGTTTTCCAACTGAGAATCCCTTTTAGCTTAAGTTCTGGAGTTCCTTTGCCTAGAAACTTCAGAAATTATATCTTGGACACTCTCCTCTGGGAGACTAGCACTCTTTTGTTTGCTTTATTTGTAGATGTAGTTTTATTCATATGTTATACACTATTCATATACCTTTCATATAAAAGAAATGCACGTTTAACAGTGATGTGGGCAGGAGTCAAGTGGGGTAATATTAAGCACTCCGATAAAATGCTTTGATCCACACTAGGGAATGAAGTCCACAGCACACTTCCTCCCTAAAAAATTAGGTGGGAACTGGGAATGTTGTGCCTTGAGGGTCTCTCTGGTTCCTGGTTGTCCTAGATGTGGAGCTGGCTACGTAATGCCTCCATGGGGAGCTCAGGCACAAGTTATGTACTTACTTAGGGGTAGCTGCCACCCAGGCATGAGGAGCTTGGAGGAGGGTGGAACCTCTGGGAACATCCAGGGTGGGAGACTGGTTCCCGTGTGGGTCCAGCTTCCCCTGGAGCATCCTGTATGTATTACCTCTGGTATATTGAAAATCCCACCAGAAAGTGTTGTGGTTTTTGCTCTAAGCTGTGCTACATATTTTGAAGGACTTAAGAAAACTAGTCTATTATATTTACCCAGATATTTACTGTTTTTGTTGCTCATCCTTCATTCTTGAGATTTAAAGTTTCTCTTTGGTAACATTTCCCTTTTGTTTGAATAACTACTTTTAATATGTCTTTTAGAGTAGGTTTGCTGGTAACAAATTCTTTTACTTCATTTTAGAGTATATTTTGCATCATTCCTGAAATATGTTTTCACTGGATATAGAAATGGCTTGACATGGGCGCCTGGGTGGCTCAGTTGGTTAGGCGACTGCCTTCGGCTCAGGTCATGATCCTAGAGTCCTGGGATCGAGTCCCACATCGGGATCCCTGCTCAGCGGGGAGTCTGCTTCTCCCTCTGACCCTTCCCCCTCCCATGCTCTATCTCATTCTCTCTCTCAAATAAATAAATAAAAAATCTTAAAAAAAAAAAAAAAAGAAATTTTTTTCAGTATTGAAAAAACCATTATTCCCATGTCTGACCTTCATGGTCTTTGAAGAAAAATCCTCATTCAAGTAAGTGTTTGTGTAATCAGCATTTCTTTTTGATGTAGCTAATGAAGAAGGCCTTGCTTCTGTATCTATTGTTTGTCAAATTACTTTGTTACTATTAAAATATAATCTCCATTTTTAAAAAATGCTATTCAATGTTTAGCAAAAATGTCTTGGATAATTATTTTAGATCAGAAAACATGGTGAGGTTGGTCTCTCTTTTTTTTAAAGATTTATTTATTTTAGAGAGTGCGTGTGCGAGTGGGCGGAGGACAGAGGGAGAGGGAAAAGGAGAGAAACAGACGTCCCACTGAGTGTGGAGCCCGGCATGGGGCTTGATCTCATGACCCTGAGATCATGACCTGAGCCAAAACCAAGAGTTGGATGCTTAATCTACTGAGACACCCAGGCGCCCTGACGTTAGTCTCTTAAGCATTAAGTTGTACTTGGACTGAGGACTGTTTTTTTCTGCTTTGAATTAGGTTCTTTATTTCACAGAATATAAGTGTAGATTAACTTTGGTGTCTGATACTCCTTGCTATAGCTGTTCATAACAAACTTGATTTAAATAAAAGTGCTTTTGGGGCCCCTGGGTGGCTCAGTCACTTGGGTGGCTGACTCTTGGTTTCGGCTCAGGTCATGATCTCAGGGTCCTGGGATCGAGCCTCTTGTTGGGCTCTGCGCTCAGTGGGGAGTCTTCTTAAGGATTCTCTCTTATTCTCTCTCCCCCTGCCCCTCCCCCCAAAACAAACAAACAAACAAATGTTCTTCTGACAGTTTCTAAACCTAGAGCATAACATGGAACTGCTTTTTGGACATTCCTTTTAGGACTTGACCAGAACCCAAATAAGTACTACTCACTTTTGGAATAAATTTTGGTCCATCCTCTTTTCCTGCCCCAGTGCTTTCTGCCTAATCTCTCTTTCTGTCAGTACTCAAGAAGGGGAGGGCAGAGAGATACATCTGGCTTATTACAGATTTGTTCCATGTTGTAGACACTGGTGACCTTCAAGGATATACTTGTGAACTTCACCAGGGAGGAGTGGAAGCTGCTGGATACTGCTCAGCAGATCATGTACAAAGATGTGATGCTGGAGAACTATAAGAACCTGATTTCCTTGGGTAAGACTAACTTCTGTTCTCAGAGATATCCCCCTGCGATGATTTTGGTTTTTTATTGATCAAAAGGTATGGAGAATGAAGCACATATATCAGAGTGTGAGCTTAGGGTTAGGGACCTAATTTTGGGGGGGCATAGAAGAGGGTTTTGTACTCACTTCTGTTTTTGAGGAAAAAAATTTTTTTTGTTTTGTTGAATTTTAAAAACATGCATATTTTGCTGCCTCTGTAGCCTCCCCTTGTCTACTCTTCAGAGTCCCCCCAGGACTAAGGGGTTGGGGCTGAATCTGGGATGCTCTTTGTGTCCAGCCCAGAGTTCCCCAACCCCTGTGCAGTTCTTTATCTTTTGCTGTGCACAGGGCATCAGCTTCCCAAACCAGATGTGATCCTCCAATTGGAGAAAGGGGAAGAGCCATGGCTGGTGGAGAGAGGGATTCACCGGGAGACCCATCCAGGTGAGTACCAGTCAAGAGACATTGCAGGCAGTAACCCAGATGAGCTGTTACGGGCCGGAATACCTGGACATAGTGGTCCCTAGTTCTCCTCATTTCTAGAGAGAAGACTGAGTTTATTTACCTTCTATTTCCCCATGACCAGTCTCTCTACAGTCTTATCACACATCATTTGCATTCGGAAACAAGGATGTGTTCTTCATGAAAATTATCTTTCTGTTGATATACTTGTTTCAGCTCTGTTGGTCTTGCTTTCCTGATTCTTACACTGATTCTAGCGTCTCCATTCTCTTATTTGTCATACAGTCTTTTCTTTCCTCCTTGCCTGCCTTTTCCCTTTCCCTTTTCCTGTGGCTTTCCTGCTATATGTAAGCCATGCAGTGGGCTCAGTAACCGACCACTCTTCTGAGTTTGCAGAGGGCTTTCCAGCTCCTGCTGGCTGAACTCCTTTCTCTCCAGAACTGCTGCTCCCAAAACACCTTTTTCTTACTCTATTCTATCTCTCATATTTCATGTTTTCTCAATTTATTCCTATTTTGTTTTCATCTTAATATCTCTAAAATGCAAATCATTATGTGGATTCCGAACATCATTCCTTTCCCCAATTTCCCTGTGCGTTGAAAATCTGCTTTCTAGGTTAAGAAATAGAAGGTTGAAGGGGCACTTAGGTGGCTCAGTCGGTAGAGCATCTGACTTCAGCTCAGGTCATGATCTCAGGGTCTTGGGACTGAGCCCCACATTGGGCTCCCTGCTCAGTGGGGCGTCTCCTTCTCCCTCTGCCCTTCCCCCCCTCATTGTCTGTCTGTCTCTCAAATAAATAAATAAAATCTCTAAAAAAAAAAAAAATAGAAAGTTGTTTTTCTTCTTCTTCCTTTATTCTATAGAAGCAGTCTTTTCCCTGACCTGTGTTTGTAAGTGCAATCCTCTGGCATCTTCCTCCCCAGCCATCTTGGGTGCTGCTGTCTGAGTCATACTGCACATAACCTCCTTGGTGTGTGGTGAGGCATGTGACTCCACATGACTCCAATGTGGCCTAGTCATGCTGTGAGGACCTGTGTTGCCTCTGTCCGATCCCCATTGTCCACACGTATTTGGTGCTTCCTGCATCTTGAGCTTTGAGTGTGATGTGAATAAAGTCTGTCAGTCTTAGTTGTCCTCTGTGAAACTTCTTATGACTCATCGTCAAGTACAGGTCCCTTCCTTTTCTGAGCTTCCACTTTAAGTGTACTTTTAAATATCATAAACTATTTTTTACTTGTTTTACATTTGGTCTTATAGGTGACTGCCTCAGTTTTCTGCCTCAAAGACAAGTCCTTCAATACACCGTTAAGAACTTGATCAGCCAGCTGCTTTGGTGCCTTGGGAGGAAAGATTGTTTTGTTTTCTTTCATTTCTCCATTATTTCCTTTATTTATTTCATTCCTGTGTTCATTCATTTAGGAAGCTTTCCTAGATGTCTCTTGATGACTATCTAAAACTAACTAGATCAACAGTTTAGATTTTTATTGAGAATTTGTTGTCAAAAGAAATACTGAAGCTCCATGTGCTTAAACACATGTGCTTAAACACATGTGAGCTTCATGATCAATGTGGAAAGTATAATGAGTGGTGGATCTAAAAATGCAAATGGGGGGGTCACCTGGCTGGCTCGGTTGGTGAATGTGTGACTCTTAATCTTGGGGTTGTAGGTTCAAGCCCCACATTGGGTGTAGAGGTTACTTAAATAAAATAAAATCTCTAAAAAGAATACAGATGATGAGTTGATGAATGGATGTTATATGTTTTAAGTATAATTCACTTGAGTGTTATGTTACATAATACATGGACAAATTTTAAAATTTTGATGAAGGAAAGCACCCTATTCATATGTTCAAACACGCCACTCACGGTTGTTCTGCTTTGGTACCCAGCCCTCACTCTTCCTCACACATGTTCATTTTAGAATTTTCCAGTTGGCATTTGTGGTTTGAAAAAACTTTCCATGCAATTTTGATGCCTTGAGTGGAGGGGAGGAGAGGGAAAAGATGGTGCATTTCCTGTCAGAAATCATGATGGCAGTACACAAATACACACACACACACACACACACAATAGGCTGGTATTCAGCCTTAAAAAGGAAGGAAATTCTGCCATCTGCTACAACATGGATCAACATTGAGGATATCATTTAGTGAAATAAGCTGGACACAAAAGAACAAGTAATGTATGATTCCTGTACATGAGGTTACTTAAAGTTGTCAAAATCATAAAGACAAAGCATAATGGTGCTTAGCAGGTACTGATGGGAGGGGAGAACGGGGCCTTACTTTTTAAGAGGTACCAAGTTTCAGTTCTACAGATGAGAAGAGGTACGGGGATGGCTGCACAACCATGTGAATGTATGGAGTACCTGAAGTGGCCCTTAAAAATGGTAAAGATGGTGAATTTTACGTTATGCCTAGTCTACCACAATTTAAGACAGAAAAAAGGGGCGCCTGGGCGGCTCAGTTGGTTGAGCATCCAACTCTCAATTTTGGCTCAAGTTATGATCTCAGGGTTGTGGGATTGACCCCTGTGTCCAGCTCTGTGCTTAGCAGAGAGTCTGCTTGGGATTCTCTCTCTGCCTCTCCCATCTGCCCCCCTCCCCCTGCCCAATAAATAAATCTTTGAAAAACATTTAAAATTAAAACAGAAAAAGAGATCAGGGTGGGGAAAAAGCTAGTGACTGACACAGTAGTGAAAGAGGATTGGGAATGGTGGGTTCCCACAAAGAGGGTGGCAGTCAGGAGCCTGGCACGGGGATCATTGTCAGGTGAATTACTTTCCTGGTGCTGCCGAGATAAAGTTCCACAAGCTGGGTGACATAAGTGTGCCCTCTTAAAGCTCCAGAGGTCACAAGTCTGAGATCAAGGTGTCAGCAGGGTCATAGGCCCTCTGCAGCCCCTAGGAGAGGATCCTTCCTTGCCTCTGGTGGCTCTGGTAGTCCCAGGTGTTCCATGGCTTATGAGCACATCATTTCGGTCAGCCACCACCTTCACATGGCTTCCCGGTGTGTCTTTGTGTCTCCTCTCCTCTTGTAAGGATACCAGTCATCTTGGATTGGGGGCCCAGTCTGTACCAGTACAACTTCATTTAATGACATCTGCAATGATCCTGTTTCCAAATACGGTTGCATTCTGAGATATTGGTGGTTAGGACTTCAGTGTATCTTATGTGAGGCACACAATTCAACCCATACACCAGGTAAGAATAGAATATCACCTCACTTGTGTAGGGAGAGGCGGTACTTTGTAAATAGTGTTTTTTGGGGATGTCTGGCTGGCTCAGTCGATAGAGCATGCAGCTCTTGATGTCGGGGTTGTGAGTTCAAGCCCCACGTTAGGCATAGAGATCACTTTTAAAAATACGGCTTTTTTTTCCCCCATAGGTTAAGAACCTAACATTTTGAGCGCCTGGGTGGCTCAGTCAGTTAAGCGTCTGCCTTCAGCTCAGATCATGATCCCAGGGACCTGGGATTGAGTCCTGCATCGGGCCCCCTGCTGCTGCTTCCTCTGCTTCTTCCTCTCCCTCTCGCTCCCCCTGCTTGTGTGTGTGCGTGCTCGCTCTCTGTCAAATAAAATCTTTAGGAAAAAAAAAAACACGTTACATTTTACCTAAAAGGCATTGAGAGACAAACAGGCTTTTAACCAGGGGAAATAATGTGCAGTAATACACACAGATATAAGCAAAGGAGCAAAAAAGTCCAGGAGAATATGAGTTAGGGGCTAGGTTGTGAATTAGTGTCCTGTGGTTTGAGTCCTGTCAGTTAAGTCCCCCCCGCTTTTTTTTTTTTTAAGATTTTATTTCTTTGGGACAGAGAGAGAGAGAACATGAGTAGGGGGAGGGGCAGAGGGAGAAACAGGTCCCCCGCTGAGCAGGGAGCCCAGTGCAGGGCTCGGTCCTAGAACCCTCAGATCATGACCAGAGCTGAAGGCAGATGCTTAACTGAGCCACCCAGGCGTCCCAGTTGTTAAGTCTTGGTGTCTCAGAACAAAGGAATCAAAATACAAGACCAGGAGAATATTAATAATGATTACTGTGGTATTGCTTTGACCATACATGTGTCAGAGTCTGTGACGAGCTCACACCTTACAATACTTAACAATAATCTTACACCACAAATACTGTTGTCTCTTGGATTACAGATAAGCAAAGTGATATTTGAAAAGTTGAACAACTAGTCTAAATTCACCACTAGTAGCATTAAAGCTTCGATGTAGAACCTGTATCTGGATAACTTGTGTCCAGTTGCTTTTCCAGCCTGTCACGTGGCCTTTCCGAGAAGTTCCTGTGCCAGTTATCTGGGCATTACTCTGTAGTGCTTTGGTGGTGTCAAGAACAGGCCCTGTCTTGGCATATAGTTGGACTCATGTCTTAGGAATGTGAAATTGGCTGTAGTTGGGAAGAATGCACGTCAGGAGAAGGCCCTGGCAACAAGTAGACATGTTAGGTTCTTGTGTCATTAGATTAGATCATGGGAGTGTAGGCCTCTCTGAGATTTCTCTTATTGGCCCCCAGCACTGACTGTCCGATCCCATGTGTCCTACCCAGTCCTGTGTCTTCTTGCCCTCATTGCTCCTCTTACCTGCTGCACAGCCCAGCACCTTTCCTGTTTGCTGTTCTTCTCTGCCCTTTCTCACTGTCCATGAAGGCAGCCATACAAGCAGCTCTATACAGCCTACATACTTGTTTCCACATCCCACCATTCAGGCCTTAATATGTTTTTTTTTTTTACTTACACAAAAGTTTCTCTCTCTCTCTTTTTTTTTTTTTTCAGATTTGGAGACTGCAGTTGAAATTAAATCATCAATTTCCAGTAAGAGCATTTCTAAAAATAAACAATCCTATGGCATTAAAATGGAAGGAATTGCAAAGAATGATCTCTGGTGTTTGTCATTAGAAGAAGTCTGGAAATGTGAAGACCAGTTGGACAAGTATCAGGAAAACCAGGAGAGACATTTGAGGCAAGTGGCATTCACCCAGAAGAGAGTACTTACTCAGGAGAGAGTCTGTGAAAATGGTAAATATGGGGGAAACTGTCTTCTTCCTACTCAGCTGGTACTGAGAGAGTATTTCCATAAACGTGACTCACATACTAAAAATTTAACACATAATTTAGTTTTTAGTGGTCATCAGGAAAGCTATGCAAGTAGCAGTGAATGTGGTCCAGCCTTCTGTCAAAACATTCACCTTATTCAGTTTGCAAGAACCCAGCCAGGAGATAAGTCCTACAAATGCCCTGATCCTGTTAACTCTCTTACTAGTGGTACATCCCTTGGTATATCAAAGAGTATACATAGGGAGAAACCCTATGAATGTAAGGAGTGTGGGAAATTCTTCAGCTGGCGCTCTAATCTTACCAGGCATCGGCTTATTCATACTGGACAAAAACCCTATGAGTGTAAAGAATGTGGAAAATCTTTCAGCCGGAGTTCTCACCTCGTTGGCCATCAGAAGACTCACACTGGTGAAGAACCCTATGAATGTAAAGAGTGTGGAAAGTCCTTCAGCTGGTTTTCTCACCTTGTCACCCATCAGAGAACTCACACAGGAGACAAACTGTACACTTGCAGCCAGTGTGGGAAATCTTTTGTGCACAGCTCCAGGCTGATTAGGCACCAGAGAACTCATACTGGAGAGAAACCCTATGACTGTCCCGAGTGTGGGAAGTCTTTCAGACAGAGCACACATCTCATTCTGCATCAGAGAACTCACGTGAGAGTAAGGCCCTATGAATGTAACGAGTGTGGGAAATCTTACAGCCAGAGATCTCACCTTGTGGTGCACCACAGAACTCACACCGGACTGAAGCCCTTCGAGTGTAAAGACTGTGGAAAATGCTTCAGTCGAAGCTCTCACCTGTTCTCCCATCAGAGAACCCACACTGGAGAGAAACCATATGAATGCCATGACTGCGGGAAGTCCTTCAGCCAGAGTTCTGCCCTCATTGTGCATCAGAGAATTCATACTGGAGAGAAGCCATATGAATGTTGCCAATGTGGAAAAGCCTTCATCCGGAAGAATGACCTTATTAAGCATCAGAGGGTTCATGTTGGGGAAAACACCTATAAGTGTAATCAGTGTGGGATTATCTTCAGCCAGAACTCTCCACTGATTGTACATCAGATAGCCCACACTGGAGAACAGTTCTCAACATGTAACCGGTGTGGGACAGCGCTTGTCAACAGCCCTAACCTTACTCGATACCAGACCAATCATATTAGAGGAAATACTTATTAATATAGTGAATGTGGAGAGTTCTGTACAAAGAGCAATAACTTTCTTTTGCATTGGAAACTCCTTCTGGGGAGAAGCTGTGTAGATGTAATCTGTGCAGAAATGCTTTCAGTCTTGTTACTACCCTTTTGTGCACTAGAGAGCTGGTCCTAGAAGGGGAAATAACCCAAGATTTCATTTTAGTACACAAATACATCAGCTTTTCTTTCCACAAATTCCTACAAAAGCAGTTGTCCTCGGAGCATTCTTGACCAAGCCTTAAAATGCTAAAATCTGAGAAGTAGGTGAGTTGTTGAGAGATTATCCAACTTTGTTACCTTCTTCAAAAAGATAAGAGTTGCTACTGCAAAGAATAAAAAATTGATACAGTTATCGTAACAAAAGTGGAAAATAGTATTCCAGTGAGTTAATATGCCCCCCCCTTTTTTTTTTACTTAATTGTCTTTCTGGGACATTTAGTAGTGTTTACTCTGTTTTATGTGTCTGATTTAAGCCACATTTTGGTTAGCAGCAGGGAAAATGCTTATAATGTAATGTAGAAAAATAACATTTACTAGTAATGGTACTTACTTTAAATATATTTGCATGTCGGCAAGAATTGGAAAAGTACCCATGGATAAATGACCAGAAATGATTTGTTAGGTAATGGGATTGAGTTTTATAGTTTATTCCATGTTACTCTGATAATTATTTGAAGATATTTTTAAATATTAAGAAAAAGATATCCAGCTTCTCTATTCTATCATCAAGGACACTCAAGAACCATCTACTAGCAGACTTTCCCATTCTGTGTTGTTTAGGGTCATAGTTAGAGTTGCACTCTTTGAGACAGGGTGCTAAAGGCTCCTGGGAATTTAGAGACAGTGATTCTTCGGACATGGGGATCTAGAGGAAGATTAGGTATTTGAGCACACCAGGGAGGGTCCCCATTTGAGTGGGAACAGGTACTTGGGCCATACTTAGAGCAGCTATGCTCATGAAATAAACAGCAGTGCCCAAAGCCACCCTCCTTCCAAGGTAGTCCTTTATCTTTGTGAAGGAAACGTAGTGGTTAAATGCATAAGCTTGAGCTAGACTACCCAAGTGGAAATTCCACCTCTGCCCTTAACTTGCTGAGTGAACTTGGGCATGCTGCCTAACCTCTCTGTGCCTAACTTACAGATCTCCGCTTCTTTAAATTAGGGATATTACTTACCTTGTAGGACTGTGGTGGGTATTAAGTGAGTAAACACATAAGCAGTTTAGAATAGTGCCTGATGTATATTAAGTGCTTTATCATTGCTAGCTGTGGTGATCGATTGGTGTTACTGTTGTTGCCTCACCTTGGTGTGTGTCATTGAATTTAAACCTGGCTGAGTGTGAGTAAGAGCTCACAGGGCTCTTGCTTCCCTCCCAGCCACGTTTCCCTCTCACCTCCGTCAGCACTTGGCCTGAGGAAATCAGTGCCCATATTGGGTGTATTGACTCATTTCCGAGGATCAGTAAACAGCTTTTAATGTTGTATACGAAATCATCTTGTTTGTACAGAGGTAATATCTTCTAGGGAGAGGAGCCTAATCTTCAGATTCTGTGATAAGTTCATGCCCCCAAAAAGATTTAGCAATAGAACCTGTTTTAATTCTCTCTTTCATTCTGTAAATGGATCTCCTGTGTATAGGGACTAGCCATTATCTGCCATTTGCCAGCAAACAAGATATATGTTAGATGCTTAATGATTGATGGTTGAATGATAAATATTTTTGAGACCAAGAGGACAAAGATCTTGATGTCTCTCTCACAGGAAAAATCTAGAAATGATTGCTAGTGTCATGAGACTTGGGAGCCACAGGGAACGTAAGACCATCTAACTTGTACTCTTCATCATACAGTTGAGATAAGGTGAGTTGGTGCAGGTCTCACGTTTTGAGTGAAGTTAGACCCAGAACTAGATCTCTGGTCTCTCAGTTACTACTGCTCTCCTCGGTGCTTATATACCAATACATAAAATGCACTCCTTTTAGAAGGAGTCTTCATGATAAACAGCAATTCTTGATGGGAGTGGAAGAGTAGCCCCTTAGGGTTTCTGATATAACCTGTGGCTCAATTTTCCCCAACTGTTTAATGGAGGTACTTCCAGTATCTACCTCAGAGGGTTGTTGTGTGGATTAAGTGAGATAATGTGTATAAAGTATTTAAACAGTGCCTGGCACACAAGTACTATATGTGTTACTTACTACTAATATTACTAATGCTGACACGCTAAGGAATGTAGGAAGAGAGAAATGTCTGTGGATGATCACTAAAACAGTACTTACAACAGTGCAGAATTTGCAGTACAAAATGTATAATATTATGCAGACATTAAAATTATGCTGTTTGCTAACAAGAAAAATGTTGATGCTGTCGTGTGTGTTGAAGAAAGCATGATAAATAATTGTTAACACGGAGTAAACTCAAATATATAAAAATAAATGAATTGTAAATAAGTGAAAATGAATCTTTCTCAAAACCCTTAAGGAAGTGGCGCCTGGGTGGCTCAGTCGTTAAGCGACTGCCTTCGGCTCAGGTCATGATCCCAGGGTCCTGGGATCGAGCCCCGCATCGGGCTCCCTGCTCGGCGGGAGGCCTGCTTCTCCCTCTCCCACTCCCCCTGCTTGTGTTCCCTCTCTCGCTGTGTCTCTCTCTCTCGAATAAATAAATACAATCTTAAAAAAAAAAAAACTCTTAAGGAAATTTGTCAAAAGATTAATAACAGTTAACCTACTTTCTTTTCTCTCTCTCCTTCTTTCTTCCTTTCTTTTTTGTACTTTTCTATTTATTCCAAAGTCTCCTCAACAAATATATACTACTTTTAGGATCAGGAAAACAGTCTCTTCAGGAAGGGAATATTTTCTCTTCCAAAGTTTTCATATTCAAATAAACTACTAGAACCTTAATAAGGAAATTTGACAGCAGATAACTCAGAGGTTGCCAGTGGTTTGGGATGGGAGAGCAACTGATAGCAGATGGGACCACGAGGCAGCCATTGAGGATGATCTGTGTCTTGATTGGTGGTGGTTGCATGACTGTACTTGTCTGTCAGACTATACACTTGAAGTGGATCCAGTTTGTTGTACTTTACCTCAATAAAATTGATTTTTTGAAAATATTCAGAAAACCAGGAATTCCTGGGAAATCAGAGAAAATCTGCAGCTCCAAGTGAAAGCTAATAACAATAGTAGTATTTGCTGATTTTATAATTCATCTTCATTTATAGACAGCTTAATACAAGGTAGCCAATCTGCTAAGCCCTTCAGTACAATAGATTATTTCTACATATAACCCTATGAGGAACATATTCTCGCCCCTATGTTTAAGGAAACTAGAGTTTGGAAATTTTAGGTAATTTGCCCCAATATACATGGCTAGTGAAGCTTCATATGAAAAGTAACTAGACAAGTGTGTGGCAGATCTCAAGCAAGGTAATGTCTGGGACTTTGTAGAGGATCTTACAAAATTAGCCAGTCCAATATAAAAAACACTACCATTGTTACTTATTTTCTCCAGAGACAAATTCATTCAGATCTCCCTTGAATAATGTCCTCTGTCTCCCTCTATAGTATCATGTGTCCTATCTTAAAATGACGCAGGTACTAAGTGGAAATTAGGATCTGAAGGTAAGAAAGTAAATTACTGTGAAAACGAGTAGTGGCATGTAAGTTATATGCATTCTCTTATTTAGTTTTTACATTCATGCCGTCCATGTATACTACTTCTGTTTTGAGTTCACAGTGACTTGCCCCACGGTGCACAGTAAGAAGTGGAGGAGCCGAAGTTCAAACCCACATCCCTTTGGCTCCAGCACATGCAGTGTTTCTACTACTGCTTACTGCTTCCACATCTGGCTAAGGATCCTGGCAGTATCCTAAGGGTAATGGGAAACCACAGGAATTTTAAAGGCCCCAGTATCCTCAGTCACCACTGTGAGAGGCTCATGGGGATTCAGAAAGCATTTTTTTTTTTTTTTAAGATTTTATTTATTGAGAGAGAGCATGTGGGGGGCGGGGGCAGAGGGGAGGAAGAGAGAAAGGGAGAGAATCTCAAGCAGGGTTTGACACAGGGTTTGATCCCACGACCCTGAGACCAGGACCTGAGCTGAAACCAAGAGTCAGATGCTTAACCGACTGAGCCATTCAGGCGCCCCAGAAAGCATTTTTTTTTTTTTTATTTATTCATGAGAGACAGAGAGAGAGAGAGAGAGAGAGGCAGAGGGAGAAGCAGGCTCCCAAGGAGCAGGAAGCCCGATGCGGGACTCGATCCCAGGACCCTGAGATCATGACCTGAGCCGAAGGCAGACGCTTAACCATCTGAGCCACTCAGGCGCCCCAGAAAGCATTTTCTTAACATTCATCCATGAATTAAGCATACACTGATTAGTCTGTGGAATTGCCTTTCCTGTCAGATGGGAAGAAGGTGAAAATTTTTTATTTTGTTAACTTTGCTGTTAAATAAATTGCAAGCTGACCATGTACTCAGCGTCTTAGTGGCTGTACAGGAATTGAAAGAAAGGATGTGTGTAAATAGGTGTTGGTTGAGGTTGGCAAGATATCCCAGCAATGAGATCAATTTAGGAGATAGATGGCAGGGGTCCATGATTTGTGGCTTCATGGAGCTGCAAAAACCAACTGCTTTTTGCTCTACACATTAGAAATTCAGCCATTAGCTTTAGATATTTTAATGACAAAGTTCACTTATCACACAGCCCTGTGGAAAAAGATTAGATTTAGGATGTGTTACCTTACAAACAAGTTCCACCCTACCTGTTATGGGTAGAATTTTGCGCTCCCAAATTTCATGTGTTGAAGCCATCCCCCATTGCCAGAACGTGATCTTACTTGAAGAAAGGGTCTTCATAGCGGTAATCAAGTCATTAATGCAAGCTGTAATCCAGTGTCAACAGTGTACTTACATCTGAAAGGGTGGGGGGAACATTTGGATATAGAGATGCACATAGAGGGAAGATGATGTGGGGAGACACAAGTAGAAGGTGGGTCTACAAGTTAAGGACAGAGGCCTGTAACATCCTTCCCTCACAGCCCTCAGAAGAAGCCAGTCCCTACCAACAAATCGATTTTGGACCTCTGGCCTCCAGAACTGTAAGACCAGTTTCTGTCGTTGAAGCCTCCATGCTGTGCTACTTTGTTACAGGTGACCTAGAAAACTGACATTGTTTTACTTAAAATTGCAGCCACCCCACTGGTACTGCTAATCCCCTTTATCCTATTCTTTTCATTTTTGCAATAGTACTCACTACCTCTCTATCAAGCATTCAATCATCTGTCTTCCTTTGCCAAAATAAATGCTTCACAAAGGATCCTAGTGTTTTTTTTTTTTTTTTTTAAAGATTTATTTATTTTAGAGCAGGGGAGAGAGGCAGAGGGAGAGAGAGAGAGAGTCTTAAGCAGACTCCCTGCAGAATGTGGAGCCCGATACAGGGCTAGATCTCACCACCCTGAGATGACCTGAGCTGAAATCAAGGGTTGGACACTTAGCCGACTTAGCCACCCAGGTGCCTCAAGGATCCTAGTTAGTTTGTTTGTTTTAAAGATCTATTTATTTATTTTAGAGCATTAGCGGGAAAGGGAATCTCAAGTGGACTCCACGTTGGGCATGGAGCCTGACCCAGGGCTCAATCTCACGAACCTCAGATCATGACCTGAGCTGAAATCATAAGTTGGATGCTCAACCGACCACTACCCAGGCGTCCCCCAAGGATCCTAGTTTTAATTACTGATGTATCCCCTGTACCTAATGCAGTGGCTAGCTCATAGTGGGCATTCAATAAATATTTGTGGAATGAATTGGAGAACTCAACATTCATTCACTGAATCTAGAAGGGGAATGCCATAAACTTATGGCCAACCAATACCTAAACGTACGTAGTTCTTCCAGCAAAGAGGAAGGAGAGAGAATAGTTATTGGATAGTGAAGCAACCGTGTGTACCATATGAAGACAACACCCTAATAGTTCTATCATAATTTATTATAAAGGGTTCCACATGAAATGTGGTAATTGAAGCTTAAAATGTGCATGCAAGACCAAAGGAATAAAAATAACAGACCATTTTATTTATTTATTTTAAAGATTTTATTTATTTGACAGAGAGGCACAGCGAGAGAGAGGGAACACAAGCAGGGGGAGTGGGAGAGGGAGAAGCAGGCTTCCCGCGGAGCAGGGAGCCCGATGCGGGGCTCGATGCGGGGCTCGATGCGGGGCTCGATGCGGGGCTCGATGCGGGGCTCGATGCGGGGCTCGATCCCAGGACCCTGGGATCATGACCTGAGCCGAAGGCAGACGCTTAACGACTGAGCCACCCAGGCGCCCCAATAACAGACCAATTTAAAAAGGCTTTGACCTGCTTTTCAAGGTTTACTCTAATATAATAACAAGACTGGTACTGGCATAGTGTTGACCAGGAGTCAGCAAACAATGGACATAGGCCAAATCTGGCTTTCTGTCTACATTTGTATTAAAGTTTTACTGGAACGTAACCATGCTCATTCATGTATGTATTAATCCGAGGCTGCTTTTGTGATACAATGGCAAAGTTCAGTAATTGTGGTGCACAAAACCTAAAATATTTACTAATTTATTGTAAAAGGATGAATTATTTCCCTCCCCCAAATTCCTATGTTGAATTCCTAATCCCCAGTAACTCAGAATGTTGACTGTTTGGGGGTCTTTCAAATTTAAACATTTTTTTTTAAGATTTTTATTTATTTATTTGACAGAGAGAGACACAGTGAGAGAGGGAACACAAGCAGGGGGAGTGGGAGAGGGAGAAGCAGGCTCCCCGCCGAGCAGGGAGCCCGATGCGGGACTCGATCCCAGGACCCTGGGATCATGACCTGAGCTGAAGGCAGTCGCTTAAGCAACTGAGCCACCCAGGCGCCCCTCAAATTTAAACATTTTAAGTTAAAATAATGATATTAGGGTGGGCACTAATCCAATCTGACTGGTGTCCTTATAAGAGGTTAGGACACAGACACACACAGAGGGACAACCATGTGGGAACACAGGGAGATGAGGAAAGGCATTAGAAGAAACCAACTCTGTCGACACCTTGAGCTCTGACTTCTGGCCTCCAGAACTGTCAGAAAATAAATTTGTTGTTTAAGCCACCCAGTCTATGGTACTTTATCATGGCAGCCCCTAGCACAGTAATACACTGGACTTTTACCAAAAAAAGTTTGCAGACCCTCATTGTTGGCAAGTATCAGTGGAATGAAATAAAAAGACTAGAGACAGACTCACATACACATGGTAGGCAAAATAATGGCTCCAGAAAGATGTCCATATCCTAATCCTAGAATCTCTGAATATGTTACGTGACAAAGGAGAATGAAGTTTGCTAACCCTGCATTATCCAAATGTGCCCAGTGTAATCCATACATTCTTTTTTTTTTTTTTAAGATTTTATTTATTTATTTGAGACAGAGAGAATGAGAGAGAGCACATGAGAGGGGGGAGGGTCAGAGGGAGAAGCAGACTCCCTGCCAAGCAGGGAGCCCGATGCGGGACTCGATCCAGGGACTCCAGGATCATGACCTGAGCCGAAGGCAGTCGCTTAACCAACTGAGCCACCCAGGCGCGCTAATCCATACATTCTTAAAAGTGGAAGAGGGAGACAGTGGAGGCCAGAATGATGTGAACAGTACTCAACTCTGTTGCTGGTTTTGAATGCGGAGGAAATGGGCCATGATCCAAGAAATGCACGTGGCCTCTAAAATCTGGAAAAGGCAAGGGAAAGGATCCTTTCCCAAGAGCCTCCAGAAATGAATGGATCCCTGCCAACACTTTGATTTAGCCTAGTAAGACTTGTGTGGAACTTTTGACCTACAGGACTTTAAGATACATTTATATTGTTTTAAGCCACCAAGTTTGTTAACTTGTTGCAGAAGCATAGAAAATTAATAGAATATGAGAAACTAGTATATGATTGAAATTATTTAACAAATCAGTGGGCAAAGGATGCTAACTACATTTCAGTGTAAAACTTTTAGAGTCTTTCCACATTTAGTATTTATCTAGGATTTATTTCACTTTATGATGTCCTTGATAGAGCAGTAAAAGTGTTTATTAAATCAACTCGAGGGCGCCTGGGTGGCTCAGTTGGTTAAGCGACTGCCTTCGGCTCAGGTCATGATCCTGGAGTCCCTGGATCGAGTCCTGCATCGGGCTCCCTGCTCGGCAGGGAGCCTGCTTCTGCCTCTGACCCTCCCCCCTCTCAGGTGCTCTCTCTCTCTCATTCTCTCTGTCTCAAAAAAAAAAAAAAAATCAACTCGAGTACATATCTTTTTAATACCTGTTCAACAAATATTCTGTGCTGCATACTGAAGTTCCATAGTTATCATTAAAAAGCACTTGTGTGATTGATTTGGGAGCGTAACCTTGCTAAAAAAGGACTGAAGACAAGGCACTCTTAGGGATTTTCTCAAAAATTTTCTCAAAAATCAACCAAGTGAGCTTGTAACTTCAAGGGAAACAAATGACAGTATTTATTAATTGCCAACATAAAATTCGAGTTTTCTAGGTGTGGAGGAGCCTAAGGCAGGGCTTTAAATCATGGCCCTGCGATGAAAACCTGAATTGAGTTCAAAAGCCCACCGGACTGAAGCATTCAGGCATGCCCCAAAATTAGAGTTTTCAAATGAATAGTACAACTTTGGAAAACTTGTATCTGCCACTGTGAATTTCACAGCTTCCCAATACTTAAGATCAATGATAATATTAAATACAATTTTTCATATTGTAAAGTGAAATGTGTCAACATTTGGAAGATCTGCATAAGTCAGTGAACCAATATTTACACATGATTAATTCATGATGTTACAGAAGCATGCAGAATAAGACTATCCATTCAAAGTGCAAGATAGACAAATAGATTTTAATGTAATAGAGTAGAAGTTCACCTATCCGGTTTCAGATTGTACACTACGACTAGAGTATCCCTTATTTAGCCTGTGCTATCCAAGGATATACACAATTATCTGATAAGCATATTAAAATACCCGGCTCTTTTCCAGCTACACACCTGTGTGAGACTGGATTTTCTCTAAATACTTCCACAGAAACATCTGCAGCAGGTTGAATGCAGAGGCAAACAAGAGAATCCAGCTGTTTTCTATTAAGTCAGACATTTAAAAGGTTTTTCGCCTGAGAAGAGTGTCAAACAATGCCACTGCTCACTACTTAATTTTTAATTAATATTCATTAAAGTGTCATTTATGTTAACACGTTAGTATGAATTTCTGAGTTTTTATAGTGTGAATCTGGACATTCCCCATTTCGCAAAAGCAGAGGACTTAGAACCACTCCCGCCTGTGTGCTGTCGCTGTCCACGACTGCAATTCTCTGCGGTACTGAAAGTCCCCGGCGCGGGCGCCCACGGTCCGGACGCAGAGAACCCGAGCTTCTCCCCGCAGCACGCCCCCCGCCGGTGGCCCTCGGAGGGCGCCCGCCCCGCCCCGCCCCGCGCCGGAGGGACTCCTGCAGGGGCTTCTGGGAGTTGTAGTTCGCCCCGCCCTGGGGTCGCGTCGACGCGTTTCCTGTGCGTCCCTAACGGCCGCCATTGGCTGGGCCCGGCCGAGAGAATCCTGCTTCCAGGTGTGTGTCCGTTTCGCGTCGCGGTGGCCCGAGCTGACGGGGGCCGACCACGTCTTCCTCGAGAGCCGTGGCCGAAGCGCCCGCAGCGGAGGAAGGCCAGAGCCGATGTGACTGCAGATCCGGGAGCTAGAGGCAGCCAGTCTCCCCCGAGTCCCCCGGCTGCCGGCTGCGGGGTTAGCGGAGCCCGACGCGCCCAGTCCCTTCAGCTTCAGGGCGGCAGGACGGCAGAGGCTGTTGTGACCTCGCTCCCCCCTGCCCAGACTCGCAAGAGCGTTCTGACCCGACCGCGCGTGTACTGGGAAGGAGGAGCGTGGGAGACGGGGAGCCCCGGGGCTCCGCGAGGGGAGGAGTCTCCGCAGCTGCCGGGGCCCCGGACCCTCCCTCCGTGGGGGGCGGGGGGCTCGCCCCTGGTGAGGGTGGGAGCGGCGGGGAGAGCGCTTCCTGCACGTTTGTTTCCTCTCCGGCAGCCCTCGCGTCCGGCCTCCACCCGCGGGACGCCCAGAACCAGCCGTGGGGATGGCCACCAGGGTCCGGACAGCGGCCATCTGGGTGAGTTGCGGTTTTCCTCTCCGTTCTGAAGAGCTGTCCCTGAGCCCCGAGGTGGACACGTTCCATCTTCTGCAGGGTGGGAGTTTGTCGTGAGCTCCCGCTCCCCACTCGTCCTCCAAGACCCTGGGACTCCTTAGAGGGTGCTAGACCGTCCGGAAACCCTTCTTGTCATCAGACTTTTGATTTACAACTTCCAGTCTCTTTTCTGCCAATTTTGTACCCTGAGCTTTGAGTTCAACAAGGGGTTACCATCTCTCGCCGTCTGTTTCTAAGCTCTTTGGACCTCATTTGGGAAATTAGGTCCTCGTTTATTTCCTTACTCAACAGCTTTTACTGTCTTGTGTTTGCTGGACTCTGGGGCAGGTGCTAAGAGTGCAAAGATGAGTTGTTCCTGTCCTGTTTTGTGAGAGCAGAGGTCTGGTCGGGCCGGTGAACAAGAAAACCTATCGGGACAGTGATAACTCAATAGGTACTCAGAGCAGGCTGCAGAAGTACATGGGGACACAGAGCACAGGGTCAGTTTGGGAGGTAAGGGTCCTCCAAGAAATGTTTGCATGATTAAAAAGACATTCTTAACTGAGGTTTGTAAGGTGAATGTGAATAAGGGGCTGAAGGTCAGCCTGGGAAAAGGAAGCAACATGCAAATCTGAGAGGCTTGAAATGACCTAGTCTGTTGGGGAGCTTTGATCACTTTAGGGTTGCTGAAATGTAATTTGAAGGTTTGTAGGTGGTGGTGGAATGTATATTAAGAAATGAGGCCAGAGCCACAGGCAGACCAGATCATAGAGGGGTTTGAGGATTACCTTAAAAACTTGGATTTTATCCTCTAGGGAAGAGAGATTTATTTAAGTGATTTCCCAAAGGACTTTTGGTTGGCATAGTCTGCAGTAGGCAAGAGAAGACAAGGGTTTAAATTAGTAGTTTTGAGAAAAGAGAGATGGTAAAGAGGCAGAAGCAAGTCACTGGGATGAAAGGTACAGCATAGGGCGCCTGGGTGGCTCGGTTGGTTAAGCGACTGCCTTCAGCTCAGGTCATGATCCTGGAGTCCCTGGATCGAGTCCCGCATTGGGCTCCCTGCTCGGCAGGGAGTCTGCTTCTCCCTCTGACCCTCCCCCCTCTCATGTGTTCTCTCTCATTCTCTCTGTCTCAAATAAATAAATAAAATCTTTAAAAAAAAAAAAAAAGAAAGGTACAGCATAGGGAATTTTTTTTTTTTTTAAGATTTTATATATTTATTTGACAGAGAGAGACACAGCGAGAGAGGGAACACAAGCAGGGGGAGAGGGAGAGGGAGAAGCAGGCTTCCCGTGGAGCAGGGAGCCCGATGCAGGACTCTATCCCAGGACCCTGGGATCATGACCCAAGCCGAAGGCAGATGCTTAACCGACTGAGCCACCCAGGCGCCTCTGGCATAGGGAATGCTCTTAATGGTATTGTAATAATGTTGTATGGTGACAGATGGTAGCTAGGCTTGTGGTGAGCATAACATAATAGGCCACTATGTTGTACTCCTGAAACTAATGGAACATTGTATATCAACTGTACCTTAATAAGATAAATAAGTAAATAAATAAGTTAGTTAAATATGTAGAAAATATTAATTAAAAAGGGGGAGCTCCTGGGTGGCTTAGTCGTTAAGCATCTGCCTTCAGCTCAGGTCATGATCCCAGGGTCCTGGGATCGAGCCCCACATCGGGCTCCCTGCTGGGCGGGGAGCCTGCTTCTCCCTCTCCCACTCCCCCTCTGCTTGTGTTCCCTCTCTTGCTCTCTGTCAAATAAATAAATAAAATCTTAAAAATAAAAATTAAAAAGGGTGGGGGGGAGCAGAAGCAACTGGATTTGGTAACTAGTTGGGCATTGGTTGTGAGGGAAACAGAAGAGCCAGGGATGACTGCTGGAATTCTGCTCTGTGGGCCTAGGTTGGGAGTGGTAGTATTCCCTGAGTCAGGGAAGACTATCAGAGTTGTTTCTGGGGGGAGGGTGGAGATTTCTGTTTTATATGGATTGGAGCCACTGCTTGTTGGTGGGCAGATTAGTAAGCATGTGTCTCAAGAGAAAGATCTGGACAGGTTGCACTGATTAGGTATGGCCAAATTAGCTCAAGGAGAGTGTGTAGAATGAGAAGAGGACTGAGGATAGTGCTCAGGGAATTGACAAGGGAAGGCAGCAGAAGAGGGGCTGGAGACTGAGAGCCCAGTAGAGATGAGAGAAGAGAAGAGACTTGTGTTCCAGAGTTCAAGAAAAAGAAACCTCAAAACCGGTTGCCATGTGAGATATCCCACAGAGGTCAAGTAACATTAGATCATAAAAGTTTAAATTGGATTTAGTGATGACGGTAGTGGTGGGTGTTGCTGGTAATATTTCCAGAACAGAGTGTGAGTGTGTATGTGTGTTAGGCAGGAAAAGAAGATGGAGTGGAGTGATGGGAACAGCAGTTGGTTGCAGAAATGGAATGAGGCAGTAGGACAGTGATGGAGAATTAGGGAAGTTGTTCTGTTGCAATCTGAAGAGTTTGAGGAGAATCCAGTAAGGTACTTTGGTACAAAATCACTCTAAAAATCAGTAGGTTTCCTACTTATAAATAGTTATCTGCTTAGGAAATTCAGTGAAAGAAATTATTCTATTTACAATGGCAATAAGATAGATAAAATTGCTATCAACCTAAAAAAATGCAGAGGACTTATATAAAGGACTTATATAAAGAAAGCTTTCGGGGCGCCTGGGTGGCTCAGTCGTTAAGCGTCTGCCCTCGGCTCAGGTCCTGGGATCGAGCCCCACATCGGGCTCTCTGCTCAGCGGGGAGCCTGCTTCTCCCTCTCCCACTCCTCCTGCTTGTGTTCCCTCTCTCGCTGTGTGTCTCTCTCTGTCAAATAAATAAATAAAATCTTAAAAAAAAAAAGAAAGAAAGCTTTCCAGGGGCGCCGGGGTGGCTCAGTTGGTTAAGCGTCTGCCTTCGGCTCAGGTCATGATCTTGGGGTCCTGAGATGGAGCTCCACGTTGGGCTCCCTGCTCAGCAGCACATGTGCTTCTCCTTCTCCCTCTGTGATGTCTCTCACTCTCAAATAGATATATAAAAATCTTTAAAAAAAGAATAAAGAGAGTTTTCCAGCATCAGGAGTGCTAGTTGACATTTACATAGTATTTACTATGTTCTAGCCATGGGTGGTTGTGAGGGAGAACCAAAGTTCTAGCCACTTTACAAACCTTAATCCTCATAGCAGCCTCATGAGGAAGGCACTAATGTTAGCCCCTTTTGAAAGAAGAGGAAAGTGTGACAAAGAGAGGGTATGGTGTTCTACCAAAATCACATGGCACATAAATAGCAGAAGACAGAATTCAAACCCATGCAAGTCAGGCTCCTGGCTCTGAGTTCTTAACATGACCGTGTTCACCCTCTCAAGATAAAGAACATCCTAATAGACAGAAACCATACACTTTGGCTTTTGAAATGTTTGTTCATTTTTTCACTCTCCAGATATTTATTGAGCACTTACCATGTACCAGGTGCCCTTCCAGGTCCTGGGCATGTACTGTTGAAAAAGGCTGACAGAATCCATGCTCTTGGAAAGTTTGCATTCTTTTTTTTTTTTTTTTTTTTTTTAAGATTTTATTTATTTGCGAGAGAGAGAATGAGAGACAGAGAGCATGAGAGGGAGGAGAGTCAGAGGGAGAAGCAGACTCCCCGCTGAGCAGGGAGCCTGATGCGGGACTTGATCCCAGGACTCCAGGATCATGACCTGAGCCGAAGGCAGCCGCTTAACCGACTGAGCCACCCAGGCGCCCGGAAAGTTTGCATTCTGATGGAGGGAAGCAGATGACAAAGAATGATGAAGAAACTACTCAGATAAAAAGAAAATGTCAGAGTTGAGTTACATTTAGAATTAAAACTGGTATGTCAAAGGTTGGGTGATTAGAGAAGGCCCACTAAGGAGGTGACGTTAAGGCAAGGTCTGACTTACAAGAGCAGGTCAGCCTTAGGCAGAGCAGGTGGCAGAATAGCAGGGTGGGAGCAGCCATTGCCAAGGTCCTGAGGTAGAAGAGGATTGGTGCTTTTGAGACAGTGGAAGGAAGGGCTATGTGGCTGGGGTTGTGGGGGAGCAGGAGGGGAACAGACACAAGGTGGCCAGAGGCCAGATCAGGCTGGGAAGCTGTAAAGAAGGGGCAGCGTGACGTACATAGGTTTTCCAAAGACCCTTCCAGCTGCTGAGTAAAGAATGGGTTGTCGATGGACAGGAGTAGACACAGGGAGTGGTAGAAAAGGGCTGGTCAGTTAGGTTACTGCAGTGGTGCAGATGAGAGGTAGTGGAGGTTTTTTCTAGGGCCGTAGAAATGGAGAAACTGGACAGACCGGGGGCTGTTTGAAAGTAGAGTCCTCTTTTCTGAGAACCGCTGATGCTTTTCATTTAGCCAGTTGGCGTTTTTCAGAGTGACTTACGTTCTTTAAGTAGTCCTGTATTTGTTATCATGCCAAACAAATGTTAATAATCAGTGTTTACTACGTGTGAGGTTTTGTGCTAAGTCTTGTATAGATATTAGTTAATGCCTTTAGTTAGGAGCCAGGTTATGCCACTGGTTAGTGTAGAGTCAGGATTGGAACCCAGGTGGTGTGGCCCTACTCCCATTTCCCTGGTCCGTGTACTCTACTGCCTCAGGATGTAGGTTGGGAATTTTCAGGGCTCAGATTCCAGCATCCTGGGCCCTAATCGTGGTTATTGTTGACCTGTGAGGGGTTACTTTTCAGCTCTTTGGACCCAGGATATGACAGAAGCAGGACCAGTTAAGTATGTTGCGGTGCCATGGGTAGAGTGAGTAGGTAGATGTGGCCCAGTCTCTGGAGTATGATAGAGCAGCTGGGCTTCTGTGTAAATGTAGGTGACCCCATTCAGGGACGGGCTGAAAGCTGAAAGGATATAATATACAGTGTACACTAGAGGGGCCCCTGTCCCCTGACATATATGCTGGACCTGTATTCTGGGTGTCTCCTTACGGGTTCAAGGTGA